TGGAATTGCAAAAGTAGCAGGTTCATACAATTTCTATCAAACTTTCTATTTTTATGCACTTTTTGGATGAGAATTCTATTAAACTTTCAATTTTTCTGCACTTTTTGATGTGGTCATGAGAGAGCCACCTGAAGGAAAATAGGAGGGAAAAATTCTTATGTACATGCCATATGTAAAAGTTTTTGTGCACTCTCATTTTACCTAAATTTGTTTAAAATGTATAGAATTGTTTATGTGGCGAGTAACTTAAATAGGAGAAGAAAAGTAAAAGTGACACAATAGTCTTTAGCCTGCACCACATCCAGATATTTTCACTTTTTACCTTGGATTTGTTGACCAGAGTTAAACCAACTAACTTAGACAATAATAATATAAACATACAAAACCTTAAGCAGATTAGACCAAACTCATCAATATTTTTTTTAGTCCAACCCAAAACCTCCTCACACTTTGAATACGATAGGGGTGCACTTGTAGCAATTTTAGAGTCCTTCATCACGAGAATTTCTTAATACAAATCCACTTTTCTTTATTTTGTGGATCTTCTTTACATTTTCAGAAAATGGGAAAATCCAGGGAAGCCTAACTGGAATCAGTGTTGGAACTGTTTCTGAAATAGACAAGATATGGTTGAGCTTCCAAGCACTTGGGGCCGTAGCTTTTGCCTATTCTTATTCTCTCATCCTCATCGAAATACAGGTATAACACAATTTTATTGGCCAGAAATGGTCTTTGGAGAGTTTGTAATATTCGTGTAATCGTGTTGGACCCCAAACGTTTTAATATTCACACTTGAAAATATTTTATACGAGCTTTGAAAATATTTTAAGGAAACATCAATTCCATATTCGTATAAATAATATTTTTTTTAAGTTAAAATATCCGTGAACTTTAAAGGGGAGGAACGATAGGTGGCTGATTTATACCTTAATTGGGAATTTGGGATGTCCCTAATATTTTAGGAGAGTTTGTTTTAAGCTTCTTACTCCTTTTGTTCTTTATTAACTCTCTTGTATTCATTTTTTGCGAAATTTATTTATTATTTGTCCCTATTCACTCTATTATTGTTCTCTCTATGTTTAATAAGTTCTTTCAATCAAAATACATTTATACCCCTATTTTATTAGTTATTACTTTTTACAATTATTTTTTCTTTCATACTTTTTCATTACTTTGTTCTTCTTTGTATACTCACCTATTTTTGTTCCTACTTTTTCATTTACTATACACTCTCTATACTACACCGTGGTACTTTCTTCTTAAAAACCCACAAAAAATGTAAGGGGACAACTAATTACAAACGGATGGAATATTAATTTACTCTATTATTCTCAAGCAATAATAACATTATAGTATCGGATAATGTTATACAATATCAAACAGTGTCAAAGAAAGTATTCCAATAAGAAAGATTTTCAAGAAAATTCCCTAAGTGAGACTAAAACAAGAAAAAATCATAAATATGACTACTATTGTTTTATTCCTAAAATATGACTTATTCATTCTTATTGTGGAAAATTTTAATGAAATTTTATTTTAATAAGACTAAATATTTCTCGTTTGGGGAAAACCATACTTCATCCTATTTTAAAACATTGTCTATCTTTTAGTCCTATATTTAGTAATTTCACACTTTCTTGCTAGCTATTCAAACTACAAAGCTGGTATATGCGTGTATCTTATTCTTACATGTATGCAGCTAAAGTGATAAACGTATTAAATGACCAAACTCTGTGGGGGCTTTTAGTTCTTAATTAGTTGTCCTGCAAGGTGAAAAATTAAATAATAATCAATGATAATTAATTAAAAAAACAGGACACTGTGAAAGCTCCACCAACGGAGTCCAAGACCATGAGGAAGGCAAGCTTCGTCAGTGTAACTGTGACAACATTGTTCTACATGATGTGTGGTTGCTTTGGGTACGCCGCCTTCGGAGACAGTTCACCGGGAAACCTCCTAACGGGGTTCGGGTTCTACAACCCATACTGGCTTCTAGACATTGCCAATGCAGCCATCGTCATCCACCTTGTAGGAGCTTACCAAGTCTACTCCCAGCCGCTCTTCGCTTTCGTTGAGAAGACAGCGAAGGACTGGTTCCCCGAAACTGACTTCATAAACAGAGACTTCCGAATCGCCATCAGCAAAAGGCATAGTATCAAGCTCAACCTCTTCAGGCTTATATGGCGCAGCACTTACGTGGTTCTAACCACCCTCATCTCCATGCTTTTGCCCTTTTTCAACGACGTCGTGGGGATTCTAGGCGCTTTCGGGTTCTGGCCGTTGACGGTGTACTTCCCGGTGGAAATGTACATTGTTCAGAAAAAGATTCCCAAGTGGAGCGCCAGGTGGGTTGGCCTGCAAATGCTTAGCATGGCGTGTTTGGTCATATCCATTGCAGCGGCTGTTGGCTCGTTTGCCGGCGTTGTGACAGATCTTAAGGTTTACAGGCCATTCCGGACTAACTACTGATAATCTGGCTTGAAATTTATTAACTGCTGTTGAGAAAATGAAGAAATATGTATATCCCTAGTGCTGTAGAGTGGCAGGCTCGCAGTATAAGTGTGTAGTTTAAGAAGTGCTCAAAGTGTATATGATGGATACGAAGTATTGTTTTGCTTCATTGCAATACAAAATTAATTTAATACAAAAAATAATTGTTTTCCCTATATGACAGAAATTCCGTTATATTTCCATTATTCCATACTTGAAAGTTGAAACACGATACTCCTAATTCCAAGTCCTAATTCCAAGCCTAAACTCCAAGGACATCGTTTTATTCTTCCTGTTGGGATGTCCTGTTTTTTGTACTGGTTTGAAAAATCATAGGAAATAAGTGCAAAAAGCATATGTTTAAGGTCATAGAGGCATGTCATACAGTCATACTTGGTGAACAAATAGAGATGTTTTTTCCTCAACAACAAAAATTAAGTGCAAAAGTAATGTAGAGATCATATTTTGAGACAAATTGAAGGAGTACTATTTAATACTCAATATAAGGTTCGAACTTAAAATTCAGCTCCGGCTCGTTAGGTTCGAAACCGAGCTCGAACTCGAATAGTTCAATAAAAGCTGGGTTTGTTAACAACCCTAGATTCAAGTGGGTGGAAACGGTTGCTACTTGATGTTCTCATTGGTTCAAGCTGCACCATAAAGTTCTTATTTGAATTTTTGTGCTAGATGATAAGTACTACTTCCTCTGTTCCAAATTGTTTTGCAAAGTCAACATTTTTTGTCAATCAATAATAAAAGTCGATCCTCTCAATCAATAATTAATTCAATTTTTAATAATTAAAATTTACATATGAAGAAACTACATTGAAATCTCTTCAAAGTTGCAAACTCCAAATTATAATATATTAAAAATTGGCATCCTAATTAAGCGGAAAAAATGAACCTGCTTGATTAAGAAAAGTCAAATTTGCAAATCAATTTGGGATGAAAATAGTACTACCTCCGTCCCACTAACATTGGGACGGAAATAAGAAAAGTGTGTTTATGTGGTTGATATTGAATTGATAAAGTAAAAATAAAGTAAGAATGATTTAGAGCCACACTAAATTTACCAAATTTGGTATGAGACAATCTTAGTGAGATTTCTCGAAAAAGTAAAACGGGACAATCTTAACGGGACGGGAGTATTCTCATAAATCATAACGACAACCTTATATTGGGTGTTGTATGCCGATTTGTGAATCTTGGTGTTCATGTGATATTGAGGTAGTTTCTTTAACAAATGATTTAATCATTTATTATTATGCTTATCGAATTACCATAGATAAAACATAATGATTAAAGATATCTAATAGAAATATTCACCTAAAGAAGAGTAACCCTCTTCCTATATAATTAAGAGTCCCGCTTCGCGTACACGTCGGTCAAATTGTCTGCATACAGACAATTTGATCGGCTAGACAGAAAATTTGACCGACGTTTTATGAAGAAAATCGATTTCCATACAGACAAAATATCAAGAGTTGTCTGTATCACAGACATTTTAAACCTGCATTTTTCATTAAGTGTCTGTGATACAGATTTTTTTTTATTTTTTGTCTGTGTGAAAATCAGTTTTCTTCAGAAATCGCCATTCAATATGTTTGTGTAGTCGATCAAATTGTCTGTACACAGACAATTTGACAGACGTGTAAACCGGCGTGTAAAACTTGGCGTGTACAAAAGGAATTTTCCTATAATTAATAGGAATACATATCAATTTTCACCCTTCAACTAAAAATGATATGAACTATTCACTTGAAAACATCACCTTATATCTTTCCTTCTTAACTTTCTTTCGTTTTTGAAATCTGAATTGTATTTCTGTTTTTTCCAATCTTCTTTCACCCATCTTTTTCATGGATAATTTGTCATAATGCCGTAAAAAGGTTTGGTATTTGTCAAAACGCTCTTAACGTTCGATATTGTTAGACTACCCGTCTCCATTAAATTTTGTGCTGTACTTCCCATTATACCCACATCAATTCATAACGACTTCCTCATTCCAGTCGTCACATTATAACGACCTCATGCCAACGACTCAATCTCACAATGATAACATTTATTTCGGATTTTCATACCTTCCTCTTCACATTTATTTCAGATTATGATTCCTTTATCTTTCATTTACAACCTACAAGATAAGATTGGCGACATATATAAATGCATCCTCTTCAAATTTTCTAGCTTTTCTGGTGTGTAAAATCATAAAATGTATCATATTGTATGCCAACTACAAAATTAGTTTAACACTTTTACTATATGTTCGGCAATCATATGGTCGAATAGATCACAATTATATAATGTTCGACCACGCTAATTGACCACTTTGATTGTCATAACCTATATTTTTTTTGTTCGACCATAATATGGTCGATGTGTTGACTAATTTAACACATGTCCACTATATGTTTTTCATTTTATCGACTATATATTTGACCATCATATGGGCGAATAGTTGGAAAAAATGTGGCCGATAGAAGTTGAATATATATATTGTTGTAATGTCTGAGAAACAAGAATATGGTCGATTTTCTGACGAATTTTATACAGGTTGATCATATTTGGTCGACACTCACCTTTGTCGACTCTTGTGTTTGATCATCTTTTGGTCAAACATATGACAACTGTGGTCGATATTAGTTGAACATTTTAGTGTAATATCTGACAAATAATAATATTCGTATTCAATTTTATGCAGAACTCTAACGTTTGAGATATAACATATTTGTCAAATATTTTAGTTATCTTTTTATCAAACAATTGAGATCCTTTTTTAAAAATTTCATAAAAAGTATTTTTTATAAAGTTGTGTCAAAGATATTCATAATAATCTCTACTTCCTTGAATCTAGTCAGAACTTCCATGAGGTAGTCAGCGCATCTGTACGAGACTGCAAAACCCTAACGTTGCCTGGTTAGATTTATTTTCCCGCCACTTCTTCAAAACTGAAATGGAAGCGGTGCTGGTAACGCCGGGAGAAGTGTTGGGTTCGGCTTCGGAGTACAAGGCTGGTAGAGGGGCTTACCTTTCACCAAAGCAGAAGATTGTCCGCTCCTCTGTCACCGGACTCCGCTCTTTCATACCCCCTGCTCCTGATTCTCCTGACCAGGTAAAAAATCTTGTTTGTGATCATGTATGACTTTAATTTTGGTCCCTTCCTCTGGTTTATGAAGAAAATCCATTTTATAGTTTTTTATCTTAAATTGTCTTAATGGTTTATGTGCTTATTGATGTTTTCGTTTCTCTCTTTTATGAAGAAAATCCATTTTCCAGTTTTTCATCTTAAATTTTCTTGATGCTTTATGTGATTATTGATGTTTCCTTTCTCTCGTTTATAAATCAAATTTCCAGTATTTCATCTTAAATTGTCTTGATGCTTTATGTGCCTATTGATGTCTATGGTGTCTTTTGGTGCTGTTCATATTTATCAGAGACCAACGGTGGAGGTTACTGGACATAAGGCACATGGACCTGTTCCTCAGCCAGGCTCAGTTGTTATAGCCAGAGTATAGTTGTTTCTGCACATAGCTTCTTAAATTATACTTCCTCCGGTTCTTATTTAAGTTCTTAGTTTGACTTCACACATATTAAGAAAATGAATTTGACTTTACTATGGAGTGCACTGTTTGGCACTGTTTGGACACTGTTTGACACTGTTTGGCACTGTTTTGCACTGTTTTGTTTCCTAAAATGGAAGTGTGAACTTAAATAAGGGACATCCCAAAAAGGAAAGTGGGAACTTTAATAAGAACCGGAGGCAGTAAGTAGTAATTATAAATGAAAGGCATTACAATTCCGCTTCAATTTATGATTTAGAAATCACACAGCAGTGATATGCACTATAGAATACGAGTATCTTTTTTAACATCTGTGATGGCAATATGCTAATATGCTATTAAGAAATTAGGCTTTATACATTCTTTTCACAATTTTAGAAAAGTTAATGAACTCAATTTTAATCTTTTCACCTTTCCACTATTTATTGAGACATGCTGTGGCTTTCCTTGATGAACTGCTTCACTGGAGGAAAGCTTAACAAAGTTATACCAATCATCAATATTTAAAATAAATATTGACTTTTTTGCAACTTGCAGGATCCATTCTTCATTTAAAATAAAATTGAACATAGGTTTTAGATGAGGAATTTTTATGGCTAAATGTCATTCTTAATAGACAGCTGCTTCATTTTTGTTTGCTTCCCTTGAGTTTACACCTATTATTTTGTATTAAGTTGGTATAATATCAGAATCTCAGCATATCCTGAAAAGGTATAGGCAACAATATTCTCACAGCATGCAGAAACTGATAACATTGAATTGAAAATTGATATTTGCATAATGCATATATAAAAATGTGTTTTCCCTTGTTAAAATTTATTATCATACTACCTTAGGTATTTCGTTAAAGGCTTGTATTTATATAGTGAATTGCTGTAAGCATCAATGATGTTTCTATTTTCTGTAGATGTTGTTTTAAAATCACTTACATTGTATCACTGATTGCATTCGACAGGTTACTAAGGTGATGGCAAAGATGGCTTCAGTAGATATAATGTGTGTTGGTTCCCAGGCTGCTCGGGAAAAGTTCACAGGAACCATAAGGTAACACATGAATGCTTTTATAACCATTGTAAAACATTAACCTTGTTCCAATTCTTATGTTGCAGTACATAAGCTCTCTGATTTTTATTGCATTTATGTGGATACAAGTCTTTCTTCACTTATTTTTTATTATTCAATTTTATGAATATATTGCTTTATATAAATGCTCCAATTCTTTAGTTGCTTATTTCCGACTATTTTCATTTTCTGCACCAAGCAAAATCAATGGTTGCTCATCCTCATCTAAATCTGCACTTTATTGCATTTGAATCACTATGAGCGTATAGTATGAAACCTCTATGTAAATTTATTTATTTTGAAAACTGAAATTACTAATTTATTGTTCATAAGCATCACATTTTGACCACTTATTCTAAATTGTAAATCACTGATTGGCTATTTGCTGTAGAAAAGAAATGGACTTTTTCCTCATGGTGCTGCAAGGCATTGACCATCTGTCAAAGCTCATCTCTTTCTCCCTAATATTGATTCTAAGCCTTTTCTTTTCTCTTGAATTAAGCAGGCAACAAGATGTCCGAGCAACTGAGATCGACAAAGTTGATATGCACTTATCTTTTTGTCCTGGTGACATTGTTAGAGCATTGGTGGTATCCTTGCATTAGTCGATAAGTTTTATTATTGCTGAAAATATGAATTTTCTATTTTGTTACTCCGTAATAAATAAGGTACTGAAATGCTATGAATCTTTCCTTTCTAATTTCCACATGGATATAGAAAGTGTCTTCTTTTAGACCTTTATAGTTTAGCTGGCTCGTAAAAATGTGAGTTGTATCAAAATCAAGTGCACAAAATGGTTGTCCTAGCTTGTTACATGTCCTAGTTAGTTACAATTTTTTTTTTCAATTCCATCATCCTCTAATCAATTTCCCATCCATTCTTCAATAGAATTTGATCAAACGCTCACGTGTGTACTTTAGTGAGGGTATTTTTGTCCAGATCTAGTCCAGCTATTAAAAGCAAATTTAAGCCTCAAACTCATACTCCACAAATGAATGGCGGCACTGGTGAATTTTAGCTCTCCCTTGCATTCAAATTCTTTTAGGGAATAAACTGAGACCCAGATTCATGGGTTAAAAACATATTTGTCACTCAAAATTTCATTGTCATGTCGGTTTGATCCTCAAACTAAAATTCCAGCATAATTGTACACCAAGGTTTAATGTTTTTGTCTGTGTAGGGTTCACCTTAATCAATTTGCAAGTTCTATTTTTTGGCCTTTTGCAAAATTATGTTGCAAGAGAACTATTTTTTTTTTTTGCAAAATTGCAGTTGTACATTAAATATTTCCGTGTATATATCTCTTTATTAGGAGAATAATATAAAATTGTTAATAACACTTACTACATCTCTGTAACAATTTGTGTTATAGTAGCACACAAATTATTTACTAGCACTCATGTATAGTAATTGACAAAAATGTCTTAAATGTAGAAATAATTTAAATAAATGGACGACGAGGAATAGTAGAAACTGAGCTGTGGGCATTAGATGAGGAAATTATCATACTTGGTGAAATCTTATTAAGTTAACCCTTTAAACTATAGTCTTAGCTCCGCACATCTTTGTCCCATCACCTGGTATGAGTACACAAATGTTTGGAGTGTGATCAGATGGTCTTAATATAACTGTTTTAACTAACTAATAAGCTTTCACTTGGAGATGCAAGAGCATACTATCTATCAACTGCGAAGAATGAGCTGGGTGTTGTATCTGCAGAAAGTGCAGCAGGTACCCCCTCCCCTCCAAACCTTAAGCATCTGTTGTGTTAAAGGCCAATATAGGCTGAAAGATGAAAAACAGTACTTTTTTAAAAGGCATTAGAATCTTGAAAAACAGTGAAAGACGAAAGATTTTGTGGGTTGTTCTCAAGATATGTATATAGTACTTTTTAAATATACATTAGAGAACATATATACACTCAAGTCTCAACAATTGGACATTAATGGGTGTAACGTCCACTTTCATATATTGTTCAAGAGTGCATTGTTCAATTTTTAAAAAATTGTGTTTTAATGTTCAAAGGTATATTTGTGTTTTTAATTGTAGTCCCATTGGACTAATCTCCTTATAAACCCTTGTGGGGATGCCTATGTGCACAGGGCTGCCCTTTAGTCCGGTTGGACTAATGCTACACTGTTTTACCTTATGCATTGGTAAGCATTGTAGTATAACACACTGGTAGCGCCTGGCCCTCGTAATCATTGTGGTCATGCCATATCACTATGATTTATTGTGTGGATTCATTTTGATGAACTATACTATGCTGTTGGCGTTTTGTTAATAAATTTGTATTTGATTTGATTTGATTGATATTATATTTGTATTGGTTATTGGATAGGTGCTACCTTGGTTCCAATAAATTGGACAGAGATGCAGTGCCCCCTGACAGGCCAAGTGGTAAATAGAAAGGTTGCTAAAGTTAATGTATAGTTAACCGACTGAAAGCTAGAGAGTAGCAGGTCTATTGTGGTCTTACTACTCTGATTGACTCCTACGGCATATGTATATGTGGATGTTTTCTATGAGCACATTTCTGGTAGAGAATCCTTGTTTGTGGCTCTTTACAGTTCTCCGGCCGAAACATGGTAATATTCCAGATCCAAAGCGACTACACCATTTCCATTTTTATTCTGTTTATCTTAAGAACATCCTCTTATTGAAATTATCTGGAAATTGTGCATATTAGATTTTGATAAGAACACCTAGTGGTGGAATAGTTCCTATGATCTTTCATGTCTGTACCTACTGAAGGAAGGCCTTTCTGCAGTTTTTGTCTAATAAAACATACTCCGTATTAGATCAAAACATGTGATTTTTCAAAAAACATATACTTGTACTTTCTTCTGTAGTTTCCAACTGGCTTTCTTTTTTGCTAACACATCTTTGAGCTTTGCAAAATCACAAGGGATAAATATTCGAAAAACTTATACACACACACCGACACACATGAACTATGAAGTTATGCTTCTTAAATATTTACATAATACGTAGTATGATTTATTTAAATGGTTGAGTATATCATTTAATAAATAAATGTGTGGGTACCGGGTCTAGTAAAAAAGTTGAAATGTTTGTAAATTATAGATAGATAGACGAGTTGCACAAGTTAGGTAGACCAACGAAAGGAAATGTAACCATAAATAGGCTTGATAGTGGATATACTCTTTTAGAATTTTATGAATCACCAATTGAATAGTTTGCGATTGATAAGTAATTTTGGACAGTGGACACTAAAAAAGAAGTTAACCAACTAAAAGTTTTACATCTCAAGCGTTGAAGCTCTCAAGATAATTGTCTTGAATGCTAGTGAAATAAGCTTTATATTATAGCAAAATGAGCAGTGTTTGTAAAAGTAGCATTACAGAATTCGGAGAACAATTCTTGTTGAAGCTTATTCCCTCATTCCAATTCCAAATGTCTAACACAATACCTTTAGTCGGTGATCGATTTTGATGGAAGAATATGATTAAAAGTGACAAGTTCAAGGCCTATTAATAATTCGGAGAACAACTCTTATTGAAGCATATTTCCTCAAAAGATGGATTGACTTGGACACTGTCGGCTATTAATAAAAAATACTTACTATATACCTTAAGAACAGCTCTAAAATTATGAATTTTGCTCTATTCAATGCCGAGAAGCCAATCCATCTTTTGAGTTAAAAGGAGCTATTTATAGTTGACGTGTCGCTCTTCTCTGTGGAATAATGGAACATGTTACCCTCAAAGGGGTCTTGAGTCTTGACAGGTATATTTATAATAAGAGAGTAATGTGTAAAATACATAAATAACCCTAGTTATGGTTGGACTCGGGTCGGGCCACCCGGCTCGCTACTGTGTGGGACTGGGACCGGCCCGGTTTTTGGGTTCGAGTCCGGGTCGGGCCTAGGCCCGGGGGGTAGGGCGGGTCCGGGCTCGGGTCTCAAATTTGGTGAACCGGCCCGGTCGGGTCGGGCCCGGGCCTGGGCCAAATTGATTTTTTTTTATTTTTTTTTTCATTTTTGGGGTTCCACCCGGGTTGGGCTTGATGGGTAGGATGGGTTTGGGGGGGGGGGGGGGGGGTTAGGAAAGCAAAAAAAATACAAATCGATGGCCCGGACCGGACCGGACCGGACCCGGTGGCTACCCGGCCCGGACCCGGATCGGACCCGGTGGCTACCCGGGCCGGTCCCGGGTCCACCATTCTTGAACCGCCGGCCTGCCCGGGCCTAGGCCTGACCCGGACCCGAGTCCACCCCTAACCCTAGTCTATTACACCCCCTCAAACTGTGCAGGAGATGCAATGTGCAAGTTGTCCTTTAAAAAATGAAAGCGTTGACTAGGAAGACTCTTTGTAAAATATCTTTCAGCTGTAGATGAGTAGGAAAATACTGAACGCGCAAATCACCATGAGCAACTTGCTCTCGAACGAAGTGATAATCAATTTGGATGTGCTTGCTCTGATCATGTTGAACAGGATTGGCAGTCAAGTAAGAAGCGGAGATATTATCACACAATAAATGAACCGGTATTGTGATGGGAAAGCCAAGCTCAAATAGTACTGAACGAATATGCAGCCTATCTTGAACGGTATAGGCAAGAGCTCTGTATTCAGTCTCAGTGGAGGACATGGACACTGTCGGCTGTTTCTTGGATTTCGAAGAAACCAAATTGGGACCTGATGGATAGTCTACCCGGGGGTATATATCCGAAGGGTTATTACGGGGAACAACTTAGAGAGAAGTCAGAGCAATTAAGTAAAAGTAGAGAGAGAGAGTGTATTATAAATGTGGAGCGTTTTCAGCGTGGTTACAAATGAGGAAATGGGGTGCTATTTATAGTAGCAATAAATGCCGGGCAGGGACACGTGTCAAGCGCTCATTGGCCGAGGGGTCACCTCAACTGGTTGGCGCTGGCAGCCGCATGTGGCCGCATTTAATGTGGCTGTTGGATGGGACGTCTGTGCGGGGCACGATGATCTGTACGCATGTGAGGCAGATATCTTGTCGAGTGAGATGCCTTCGGCTATAGAGCAGTAGCCGAGGGCTCTTCCACCCGATGGCACCCTGGTGCCGAGGGCTCATAGTGCCGAGGGCTACTGTTTTCGTCGTTTTCTCCCAGTTTCTTAATTTGCTTGAGAAACCCGTTCTGTGAGAATTTAGAGCCTTCGGCCGGGGGGCCGAAGGCACCCCTGGCGCGTAGTGCGGGCTGCTTGGTACCCTGGGCGCTGTGATTTGGGCCTGTTGGGCCTTTGCTGGAGTAGTAGGAGTCTGTGGGCCGGGGGTTCCCGGGCCATATACTCCATCAGGAGTCCCTCACTCCTTTTGCCGAAAGGTACTTGAGGGAAAAGGAGTAATTTGTGCTTGCCCTTTGATGTTGTCCCGTCATGATCTCTGAAGTTGGTGATGAGTTGTTGCTTTTATGTCCCTGCCGAAGGCAGTCCCTCAGTTACCCACATGTCGGGACTTGAGGGCTTGCTTTGTTGTTTGTTGGAATTTCACAGATTTTGTAATTTAATGATTTTCCCGAGGGGGTCCTCCAGTCCCCCACTCCTTGAGGCACTTGTAGAGTGGTGAAAAGGAGTAAAGTAGTTATGTTGCTGCTGTGGGCCGAAGGCTGACGCTTTTCGTTTCATTTTGGGGGGATGCCTCGTTAAAAACCTCATTAGGAAAAACCCTTTGGGAAAAAATCCTAATGAGTGAAAAAGAGTGCACCGAATTCCCCCAATGATGAATCGAAAATGTCAAACCTTGGTAAAAAATGGAGAATGACGGGAATGCCGAAGGCTCTCTCTTCTGAGGGCTCCCGTGTTGATTAGCCGAAGGCTTGCTGTTGATGTCCTGGTGGCGCCGAAGGGGAGCCCCTTAATCCAGGGATCGAGGGCCTGCCAGATGAAGGCAGCAGTGGAGTTGTTACCGGGGGGTCCACTGTTTGTTGATTGGTTGGTGATGAAGATACCCGAGGGCTCCCATTACCTGTGTACCGTGGGTCATCCGTCAATGAGGCAACTCCCCGGGGGCTACCCGGTTTTGCAGTGCTGAGGGGGAATCCCCGAGGGGGTGTCCTGATATGAAGCCCTGGGTTTCTGAAGGAGTGATCCCGAAGGCGTGTGTAATGTGCTGTGTGGGGCACAACCCGGGGGCACTTCTGGGTGAGTGCACCCGGAAGCTATCCTTGATGAAGTGGAGTGAAGTAGAAAACCCGGGGGCTTCCAGAATATAGCCGTTGGAAATATAGCCGTTGGAATATGTAACGACAGGATATAGCCGTTGGGGGGGGGGGGGGGGTGGCACACGTGGCGTGTGATGGCTGGCTGTTCGTGGGCGGCGTCACCGGTTGGGTGAAACGGCGGTGTGTAATGATGGCGGTCCGTCCGGAGGCCCGGAATCCAGGCCCAAGCCCGGATTCATCGCCTATAAACACCCCAAGGCCAGAGCCATTTCCCCTGTGCGAACTCAGTTGTCTTAGCGAAGCTCTGCCAAAAAATCTAGTGAGAGAAACTCAAGCCTTCGGTCCTAACTCAGCTTTCGAGGTCAGTGCTCCCTGCCTTTCTCCTTCTAGTATAGCTGTACGTTGCGCCCTCGGTTTAGGAGATAGAATTCACTAGAAACCTTAGTTCCCCCGAATCCTCGAGCTAGAGATAGAATGTCGTCTCAGAGTGACTCTCAGGACATCTCGAGGACGCCCTCGATGGAGGACGAGGGCATCTCCGACGTGGAGTCCAGCAGTGGCCAGCCCTCGGACGGTGCTGATGCCGTCCTGGCCCGGGAGGTCCAGAAGGAACTCATTGCGGAGGTCGAAGCCGAGGGCTTCGAGCAGGAGTGCGAGGATGAAGACTTAGCCCTCGCATGGCAAACAGCGGAGGATGAGGCACAGAATGAGAGCTCGAAGGTTACGATTGCTGTTCTCCCCCCTCGGGGTTCCGGGGAGGCCAGTAGCTCGAGGCCGTTGGATCCGATACCTCTGAGGGCGGTTTCCGGTTTGAAGAAGAAGAAGGCCGCTACCAAGAAGAAGGAGAGGACCGTCGATCAAGGAAAGCCCGTGGACATGCCCGAGGGGTACAGTTGGCTGAACACTGAGGCCCTCGAGATCAGGTCGAAGGCTGACAGGGCAGATCTGTACGTGACTCAGCTGCACGTGGGGCCCTCGGTCGAAGTGGTGGAGCCAGGTCCCGACGACGTGTTGTCCAGGGCGCCCGAGGGGTGTATCGCTATTCACGTCTTTTCGGTTTCCATGGGACTTAGGTTCCCTCTGCACCCATTCCTCCGGGAATATTTGAGGTTTGTGGGCTTGGTCCCCTGCCAACTCACGCCCAACAGCCACTCCTACATTGCGGGGTTCCTCCAGCTCTGCAAGTCCCGAGGGGTGAAGCCCAGCTGGATCTATTCTTCCAGAGCTTTAATTTGTGCCGGGGGGGGGGGGGGGGGGGGCACGAAAACGGCGAGGGGTATGCCAACCTGCAGCAGATTGCCCGCTTCAAACTATTCTCCGATGCTCCTTCTTCCAACAAAGGATGGAGGGAACGTTGGTGCTACGTAAAGTTGGATGAGAGCCCATTCCCGAGGGAGCTGCGTGATCGATTCCGAAGGCACGAAAAGATCAGGAGTGCCGCTCTCGAGAAAGACGGCCTAAAGCTGGCCAAGTTCCCGGAGGGGAAAAATAAGAACGTGGCGATCAAAGACTGCACCCTCGAGGAGGATTTATACACCCTCGGGTTCCGGAGGTACCGCTTCATAGGGGAGACCGATGAAAAGTACCCTCCCTTCAACAAGGCCTTCGGAGGGGCCGGAGGTAGGAGCCGAGGGCTTTAGAATTTTGTACTTAGTTTTTTTTTTGCTTGGATGTTATTGTCCCTTCGCTTAGACC